TAGGCGCGTGTGACCTTGAAGAACATGCTTTTTTTTTTCTTTTTTTTTTTTGTCGTACTAGAATAAAGTGTACAGTACAAACACAGAGCAGGAGATATGAAGTGCAGAGAACAGACAGTATGTAAATTGTATGTAGCGCTCGGCTTCACTGTGACTATGGTGGGAAACGAGGAAAGACCGCTGTGTCTAAAAATGTCGGCAGTGGACAGCATGAAGACAAATAAATTACGGTGTCACTTAAAGACATTACAGCCCGATCACACTCATAAGACGCTTGAGTTTTTTTTGCGAAAACATGCCGAATATTGCCAACAATCATCCCGCTTTGTGAGTGCTGCTTCAGTAAATCAGCGAGCACTGTTGGCATCATATGAGGTGCCGACCAAAGAGCAGAGGAGCTGAAACTGCCGAACTATAACACAGTCATGATCTTTAAAGATGAGGAGGACATGGGAACGGACCGCCTCTTGACGCAGGTGAGCGCAGCGCAGAATACGGACGGACACATGCTGCGTGTGTCCTGGGAGTCGCTTTGGAGACTCAACTAAAACGTTTGCTCTCGTATGTCGGCGACTAAAGGCGATGGTGCGATTTGTCCACGTTTGGTAGTGGTTCTGCGGAGTGGGGGGTACCAAATGTTTTCTTTGTCCTGGGGGGTGACATAAAATAATTAAGAAGCACTGGGTTACTTAAATTAAAGGTTGTATAGAGGATTTTTTAAGGGAATGAAATACAGCGACAGTCCTTTTTCAAATGTTGTGCATGCAGCTCCCTCAGTAGAAACACCTCCTCCTCCTTTTTACTCGAAATCACGTTTGTTTACATCCAGCGTGTTCAGATTACTGTTGAAGTGATTTAGAAGTCATTTTCGACAGGCGTCAGTTTTAGAGCCTTCGTCTGCTTTCGCGCCGTCGCTGGAAGGAATTCAAGAATCACCTCAGTTTGTCTTCGCTGCTTTTCCCCTTTCTTCTTCTTCTTTCAGCGACCTCAAAAATGGACTTTCTTTGCGGAACTGGTCGTGGATTCTCGCGCCATCGCGACAAACTTTGTGCGAATTGCGAGGGAGCGACAGTTTGAAAAACTCAAAGTCGCTAACGCGCCGGGGAGTCAGTTACACTAAAACTAGGGAGTTTTTGACAGCCAAGAAAATGAGGCAGCCTCGTTTCTATTGGCTGATGTTTATCTGGCTTACACGTCCAAGTTGATAGATTTTCATTCTTTTTTTTTTTTTGATCATCATAATTAAAGCTGCTGCGTCTCCGTAACGGTATTTTAAACTTCATTGACAATTTGAAACTGAAAAAAAATCCTCCATACAACCTTTAAACAAAACACAACTCCAGGTAAGATTTTCTAACATCTAACATTCTAACATGACTAAAAGCTGACAAGAGTCACTTTTGCAAAATACTGGACCTATAAAGACAGTACTTCCGCTATATTAATCCAATTTGGTGATACATCTTTTCTACTTTGAGCTTTATGTTGTAATTAAACATAACTTGGTCAGGAAAAAACTCGCCCAAAGACCTCTATGACTGCAGCCCAATGCGGTTTACATTAATAGGGGTTAATCACGTTAATTGCATATCTAAGGATTATATAGTTTTTACATAAATTGTGTCTAAGCATGCATATTCATTAGTCAAACAGAGCTGGGAGCCTGTGGGAAAGAGGATAAGAAGTCCCCTTTAAGAGACTCAAGCTGGACTGTGACTGCACTGGTTTAATCCTGGAGTGCTTATGCTGTGTGTGTGTGTGTGTGTGTGTGTGTGTGCGCGTCTGTATGTGTGTGTACGTGTGTGTGTCTGAACCAAATCTGCAGAGACTGGGGCTTTCGAAGTCACTTGTTTCAAAAGCTTGTGGCAAAGACCATTCTGGAGATCTAAGTTGCTTTTAGTAGTTTTTCTGCCCTCATTGAAAACATTTACATTTACATCTACATTTTACGTTACACATGTAATATTTTCTCAACACTCAACAAGTTGTTTTACAAATTGGTGGCATAAATACACAAAATACTTTAACATTAAGATAATTTAAGCATAATTGAATGCAAAGGTATATTTATTGAATGTGTTAAGACCCTGTGCTAAGGCCACAACAAAAAAACGGAGGCGAGAGGTTGGATTTTAAAATAAAATATATTTATGAACTAAATCACAAACAAAACATTCACTGTTACTGCCTTTTGTCATTTGCTTTTACACGACTCCTTATTTTTGGCTCATGATACAAAGGTAGAAAACAAGAACTGACAAAGGTTGATTTTGAGCTCAATATTTTTGATGATATTTATTCACATGATTAAAGGAGGTCTCAAATACAAACCAAAAGACATGAACTCCTTTTTGACCGGCGTTCTGCCTTTGTAGGCAAGTAAGAGCTTCCTAATTTTCTAAACCTAAAAATCTGAAACACTCAATTGTAAAAAAGAAAAAAAAAAGTTTCTATCATAATTTTCAAATCAAATATAATGTAAATTTGTATTACCGTATTTTTCAGACTATAAGTCAGAGTATAAGTTAGACCAGCCAAAAAATGCGTCATCAAGAAGAAAAAAAACATACATAAGTCGCACCGTACTATAAGTTGCACTTTCTGGGGGAAATTTATTTTATAAAATCAGGGACCAGGAACCATGAAGCTGTGTTCTCCATTCCCGCTTTTTGACAGTCCCTCACAAGTTTCTTGCTCACTCCAAACTTTTTTTCTGCTGCTCGATTACTGTTTTCGGCTGAATATTTCACTACTTGCAGCAGGACTGAGGCTTTTTCTTCAGGAAACATGCGCAGGAAACTGACACAGAAGCCTAGAGCGCCCTCTCGCAGCTGTCAGTCTGAAAATTTTAGTCGCACTGGAGGAAACACCTAAACCATGAAAAATGTACGACTTATAGCCAGAAAAATACAGTACTTACATGTATCTGAGTAGTTATCATTTGGCAAACCCACCTTGATCAGTTCCTGTTTTCAAATTTTCATGGTTAGTCCCAATTTCTCCATTGGAACTGCAGTGGAGAAACATTCCAGAATACAAAATAAGACATTAAAGACATTTAAGGCTCTGTTCCACTCTTTTGTACCAGCAGCCATGTTTGGACCCTCACGTGTATTCTTATAAATTCTAGAACGCAACCGAACTCTATCCAACTTTCACTTTCATCACGGTCCATTAGTTTAAACATTATTGTGGTCTGAGGGCTTAGAGGCATTAACTTTCATGTGGGGACATTAAACTTTATTGCCAGCCAAACACTACGTGACAGGACTTGTTGACTGGTTTCCATAATACATATTCATCGTGTTAATTGCGTGAGTTGGATTACACGGCTCTGACATACTCGGAGTCTAATGGGATGCACGTTCATTAGTGGGACCTGGCTGTGACTCGGGGATAAGGAAATCCTCCGTCGAGTTTACAGACATACCTGCTGACATGTGGAATAATGAATCGTCGTATAGAAGCAGTCGCAGTCCAGTGGTAAACTGTATGATTGGATTTTTAAATAGTACTTCTCCAACTTTGAAAGCTCTCGAATCAAGGAGCTAAACACAAATACACAAATACACATATGTCTTTTTCTGTACGCAGTCAGTAGAGATGAGGTAAATAAGGTGTCTTGCCCAAGGACATAACAACAGTATTCACCTGAGGGAGTAGGATTCAAACCGCCAACCATCAGATCAGCGGATGAACACTCAAAAACGTGAGGTGTTGTGTAATATCAGTAGCAGTAGTAGCAGAAGTAGTGTTTCTTTTAGTAGTAGTAGCACCTGGCTGAGTATGCTTGGTTACCACAGTAGGACTAGTATTAGTAGTGCCAGTATTTGTAGTACCTGACTGGGCTGCTGCTCGTGTCCCAGTCCTGTGATCTGACTTTAGTAGTAGTAGTCAACTGTAGTAACAGTAGTGGTAGTAGTACTTTTAACAGTGCTAGTAGTTTTAGTAGTAGTAATAATGGTAGTAGTTTTAACAGTACTAGTAGTTGTAGTAGTAGTAATAGTGATGCTAGCATTGTGGTAGTAGTATTACTAGTAGAAGCAGTAGTAGCGTTACTAATAGCAGTAGTATTAGTATCAGTAGTACCTGACAGGGCTGCTGCCTGCATCTAAGTGCTGTTTACCAGTTGTTTGTAGTAGTAGTAGTAGTATTAGTTTAGTAGTTCTAGTTAGGGCTGTAGCAATATCCCTAAAAATGAATCACTGTGGTACTAAGAGGCCCACTGTGGTAGATGCTGCACCACTGCAATCACTGCACGTAACCAACGTGACCCGACCCAGAGTCCTGCACGGGTCCGGGTGGATGCGGGTCTCTAAAAATGAACCCATGCAGGACTATGGAATCTAAACATTCCACCCGTTACTGCCCGTGCTTGTAATAACCCAAGACTAACCCAGGACTAACCCAGGACTAAGGTGTGCCGTTGTAGACCGTCTGGTGACCACAGGCGAAAGGACCACCGCAGCTCCGCGCCGCACAGAGGTAAATGCAGCCGTCACCAGCTCCGTGTGCTTGTGCGAGGGGCTCTCTCTCTCTTAAGTCCGCGGGTACCTGACCTGGTGCAGGACTCTGACCTGAGCTGCCACAGTGGGAGCTGGAGAGATGTAGCGGCACTTGTTCTAAAGTCAAATGTTACTTCTCCCACACTACAAACGCTATATCCACACGACAACCAAGGTACATGTGCATCTGTGCAACAAGCGCATCATCAGAGAGAGTTTTCAGAGCCACTGGAAATATTGTAACTCCAGGGGATAGGGGGTGGCGGAGGGAGTGTGATATCACCGCATATCGCACTGTTGAGCCGCTATACCACACCTCAGGAGAAATCCCCTAACCGCGACAGCCCTAGTATAGTAGTAGTACTATCTGTAGTGTCTTGACAAGGCTGCCGTCCAGGTCCTGATTATAGTCCCCTGCTGGAGTGTCTTTGTACACAGCGGTAGTAGTAGTAGTAGTAGCAATAGTAGTACTAGTAGTAGTAGTAGCAGTAGTACCTGACAGGGCTGCTGCCTGCGTCCAGGTCCTGCGCTGTCACTGCTCCGATGATGGTCCCCGCTGGCGTGTCCTCGTACACTTCCATCACGTACTGGGGCTTGTTGAACACCGGGGGCTCGTCCACGTCCAGCACGTTGATCTTGACCGTGGCCGTGTCTTTGAACGTGCCGTGGCTCTGGAAACGAGGGTCCAGGTGAGCGTTTGTGGCATCCACTTTAAAAGTGTACGCCTTCTTCGTCTCATAGTCCAGCGGCTGAAAAAGAGACAGACAGAGATGTGAAGGTTAGAAAGTCAATAAGTATTCATTACTCTGTCAAACGAGTCTGGAATAAAAATATCTACCTACTCTGATAGCCGCTAAAGAAACTACTGCATCAGGTTTATCAAGTTGTGTACAGTTTTGTATCATGCTTGTTTTTATATTTATGGGAAATTTTTGTAGTAAACTTGTGGTGGGCTGAACATTGGACAAAATCTTACAGCTAAGGATGGTTTGAACACTTGCGCAGGAGAGATCGCTAGATTACTCAAACATGCATGCATCGAAAACCTCTTCAGGAATGTTTTTCATGAGAGAACAGTGTCATAACATGGTGGGTTAGTCAGTTGGAAGCCCAACAACAGAAATGTGGGGGCCTGGAGCAGGAAGTCTCACATGGGCCCCCCTCTAATATTAATTAATAGGAAGAGGGTCGAATTCTGGGCCCCTAAAACCTTGGAGTTTGGGAGAACTGACCGTTTTGTCAACCCTTGTCTACTGAGGAGGCTGATGGTGCAGATTGGCAGCCTCGCTTCTGAGTGTGGAGTGAATGAACAATGAACTGTAAAGCACTTTGGATGTCTTGAATAAATGCACTGATTCATTAATAATTCATTGCTGATATGGTCCGTAGCATTAATATACATACATGACATAACCAAAGACAAAAGAAAAACATGTAGAACTGGACAGTGTACACTCGCTCAGGCTCCTTTCCAAACAGAAACCTACACAGACAGTTGCGGTATTAGGATTCATTCGCTCAACGGTAGGCGGGTACTTTTTTAAATTTAACCAATCGCTGCTATTTAGTCATGACGTCTGTAATGCGCCAAATTCCGTAGGAAGAAGGACAACAACATCTGTAGCGGCTTATTGACCAACCTTATAGCCGCTCGGGAAGATCAGAGTGGGTCCTGGGGTCGTAGTTTGTGACGCGAATGAAGGCTATTGTGAACTAATACACTGGGATCCAGAATGCATTTTGTATATTTATTAACAGACATACAGCTCTCCCGGCGCAGCGAAGGAGATGGATAGAACCAGTTGGAAAATAAAGGGTGAGTATAGAGAAAGAGTGGCGGTCAACAAAAATGACGGCTACCTTCAGTCAAAACTGGGTAACAGGTAAGTGCACGCTCTTAAAACCTTCCACCGGCACACATGCACGCACACCTGCCCACGTGAGCCCCGTCCCGTCTGCACCAGAACAACACACCCACACCCTCAACCACAATGCACCAGTCCTGTCTCTTACTACGTCTTCACCCTTAATAAAATTCAACAAACATTTTCTTTGTTCCAGCTTTAAACCTCGGGAGTCGTTGCCAACACAGAATGTTTGTCTTCGTCTACATCCATCTCAACCGCTTTATTTACTGTTGTGTTGTACCACAAAAGGGACCCAGACAGGCGCTTGAGTCTGACGTCACGGCTTCACATCTCTTCGCTGATTGGCCGGTCACGGTCTACAGCTTCCGGGGTTCTTGCAAACCATCTAGTGTATTCTGATTCCTGATGTAGTTGCTGGAGAGAAAGGAAATTGGTGGTGCCAGCCTGGCTAGGGAGATGGACCAAGGACCTTCTTAATGCGAGACAAGAGTGCAACTTTTATTCGATACACCCAGCCTTGACTTCTTGCAAAGACAGCTATTTCTACAAAACTTTAGCTCTTTAGCCAAGTAACTGAACAAGTAGTAATAGAAGTAGTATCAGCATCAGCAGAACAGTAGTAGTTGTAGTAGTAGATGCAGCTGCTGCGGTATAACTTTTATTTTCCAGGACCTTCTTGCTGTGCCTTTGTGGAAGCTGAAAATGAAAATGAATTATTATTTTATTTTATTTTTTGCACTAAAGAAGTTTGTGTACTGAGGGAGCTCCTGGGGGCGAGTGGGTGATTGGAGAAACGAGTTTGAAAACTTGAGTCCAGTTGAGAGAATTCAATTTTATTTTGCAAATGATGTGCTAAACCGATAAAAGGCTAAAATTGTATAATAAATAATCCACTAAACATGCTTTCAGCTTCGTGACTGTGAGCTAATACGATTTCAAAAGTACTCGGCGCAGGTCTGAACTGTAAACTAACAGCCTCTTACCCTGAGTTGATTTGTGTTATTGCTCTATTTTTTATTCATGAGAAAAGTGAGATGTCAACAGCTTAGCCTTTAAAAGCAAATTGAAGGGTTTTGGTGAATTTTCTCTGCCTGTGGATTCACCCATCACCGGATTGTCTTTTCAATATTAAAAACACTATCTGTGGCATCCAATTTCTTAAAAAAAAAAAAAAAAAAGCAACTTCAACCAAACTGTAGTTATTTGGGCAAGTAGTAGTAGTAGTAGTAGTAGTAGTAGTAGTAGAAGTGGTTGTGCTAGTAGCAGAATCAGTAGTAGTAGTTTATACAGTGCAATGTAGATTCAATACAGCCAGTCAACACCTCTTATCAAATAAAAAAAAAAAAAAAACGTTATACGTTTATTGAGCAGCAGTAGTAGT